ATGTTTTCGTCGCGCTGTGATGACGTCAAATGCGCGCTTTCGTCGACCGCGATTTTGTCGTCTGCGGTTTTGTGGTGGAACCACTGCATTTCACTAATTTAGTTTTAAGCTGCTTTTAGATATTGTACAATGTTCAAATACAGTTATTCATCACCCCTGCAGTTAAAGAAACAGTTAAACAACAGCTTTCCAACAAGAGTAGGTAGCAATTTTTTTAAAAAAAGCAAGGAATGTCAACTAATTAAAATGTCTGAGTAAACAAAAGTGCTGAAATAATTGCAGTGTTGTATTAGCTACACTTTCTACAGAGAAGGTCTTTCTCTTTGTCATCACCTAATCTATCCAAGATGCCAACTCTCTCAACTCGTAGGTAAGCTAGCTTAGAAGACATGATCCTAGAATTAACTGCTTCCCAAACTCTTCATGTAAGTTGAACCTGGAAGGAAATGAGTAAGACTATTTTTCTTGGTTGAGTGAGTTATCAGTCATGCTGCATTCCACATTAGCAGAACCTTTTAGCTTGTCTTTGAGGACAGCCCATGGACAGTATATTTAAAAAATGGCCAAGTCATGCATGTTTAGGCTGGCTGTGTAATATGTCAGCACCTCCCTAGGAGTCAGCTGTTACCGTTGATGGTGGACATTGTGTAGGATTTCTGACATTTGCAACGTGTTCTGCTAATAGAAGCTTTCATGTTCAGGCTCGAGTAGAGGGAAGGAATTGGGCAGGGGTTGCAAAGGGATGGGGCGATATAGTAAAGTTAACCTTGTGGAAATAGATTTAGAAATATCATCCTTGTTTCTTACTGCACTGTCTCTCCAATAGTTTGCCCAGATGGTCCGCCTGAATCGCAAGCTCGGTCCGGAAGAATTCCCCCTCATTGACCAGACATTCTATCCCAATCATAAGGAGATGGTAAGTCAGACTGGCGTGTGGAAGGCTGAGGATCTTTCTGATGATGTGCTGAGACTAGCACACCCTGAGTTCTCCAGCCCCTTTAATAATTAAAAGGGCAAATAGCCATTTCTGAGCTGGACCATTGAGGATGAACATGTGATTTTCAGATATAAAACATATCATAATCATTCCTTCTCAACCAGGATGTCTTCATTTTCCTGTTCAATGATGAGTCATGCATGACAAGGCTTGACTTCTGAATGAAATAGCCATACTTCATTCTGCACTTAGTTTGGCTTCTCTGTTCAGGGTTAACATGATTACAAAAAAGGACATTGACTGCATTTCGGCTTCATTGTTAGAGCTAGTGTTGGAACGAAGAGCCGAATGGCAGTGGATACTCTTCTCTAAGCAAGAAGCCCATGAGATATGTACACTCGTATCCACAACTTTCCTATTTTGTTATAAACTTATTATTTACCAGCAATGTTTTCTCATGCATCTTCTAAGGAAAGACTTCATCTACTATACTGGAGGCAGAGGTGTTGCAAATAATGCTTGCAAGAAATCATTTTTCTCTTAAAAGTGATGAAATTAATTTTCTCTTAAAGGCGAAAACAAATCTTGATAATTGCGTTCATTAATGTAACAGATAAAAGATTAGTTTAATGAACGTAGCATAATAATGGACATAATGTAAAGTAATATATTGAACAATAAATATAATTCTGGGTGTACAAAGGCTCAGGTTGTTTAGATTGCACTTGGCTGGTAAACTGTCCTTAAATATGGACCCACTTCAGTTGTTTCAGTATGCAATTTGCGTGGTCTTGGGATGCAAAGGGTGATTTGGCTAAACGGCATTTCCCTTTCTTATCCTCTTCCTTTCTATAGATAGCACTCTTGGCAAGAACTCAGTCATTCCTTAAAATACATACTTTTCTGCTCCTTCGTCTAAATCCTGTACGTGTGCATATTGCAATCCTGTGACCTTGCTGTTATTCAGTGATGATGGCTTAAAAATACTTTTCCTGTGCTTAGAGATATGCTGTTGTTCATGACAGTTTCATGTTTCCAGATTGGTTTAGTGGTTTAGTGGTTTATTCGACTTGTATGCCGCCCTATTCCCAAAGGGACTCAGGGCGGCTGACAAACCATGAGGGGAGGGGAACAAATACAAAGAGTAAAACAGAAACAAAACAACAATACAAAAGAATTTTTAAGCCATCA